ACACACAAACACACACACACCACACACACAGATACACATCACACACATACCACACACACAGACACACATCACACACCACACACACAGACATACATCACACACACACACCACATACACATACCACACACACATACCACAGACACACATACCACACACACACACACCACACACCACATACACACACACCACACACACACCACACACACCACACACCACACACATACCACACACACACACATTTATTATTGAGCAGTGTGGTAGCTGTAACAGTTTTATGCTCGATTCCATTGCTGGTTTGTTCCTGATTCAGCCTGGGACAGGGGATCTTCAAAGTAGATATTTGAAAAGAGATTTCACAGGAGGCTGGATTGTGACAGCTTCACAGGGCTAGCTAGAAGAAGCCCAAGAAGCTTCCAGGAGGATCCCCAGTCACTTGGGGACTGTTGGGCTTTTGTCCAGGACCCTCTGATAGGAGCTTTCTGTTACTACTTCCTAATGTAAAAAGTGAGCCTGTGTTTGGAATTGGCAAGTGAGACCCAGACACAACTAGATTGGCCTGGACCAACCAAGGAGTCAAACTCCATCCTTTTGAAAGACTCAAGAGGTGAAGGAATGGACCGTCTATAGTCCTGAAAATCCAGAGACAGAGAGACCGGCAGTAAGTCAGCAGAGGAACAGGCTGGTCACTGGTTGGTTAGAGGTGTGCCTGAACATCCACTCTGTCCACAAAGTTAGTGATCTTTGATCCTGTCTATTCTAGGACAGTGGTTCTCCACCTATGAATCGTGACCCCGTTTTTGGGGGGTGTCCATGGACCTTTTCACAGGGGTCGCCTAAGGTCATCTGCATATCATGTACTTACATTAAGATTCATAACAGTAGCAACATTACAGTAACAGAGTAGCAGTGCTAATTGTCTGGCTGGAGGTCACCGCAGCGTGAGGAGCTGCAGCGTTAGGGAGGTTGAGAGCCGCTGCCTTAGAGGACGGGAGACTCAGCCGCAGGCTCTCCTTTTGAATGATACTGATTACTTTCTGCACCTCAGTGGTCGCTCGCTTTCTGACATGGCAAAGCTAAGACGTAGAGTCTATCAGACTTGGATATGTTAAGAGGTTTCCTAGGCCTTTCTAACAGACCAGATGATAGGTATGCACTGGAACCCCACTCCTGAGGTGGTGAGGCGTGCAGCTGCCTCAGCCTTTACTACTAATGTTTATTTGTTATGAATACTTTATTATACATTTCTCAAATTCCTATTTTTTGCAACATTTCTAGCAGTTTATCATTAATTTTTTCCAAGGTTTGAAGAGATGGCTCATTAGTTAAGGAGACTGGCTCCTCTTTCAGGGAACCTAGGTTCAGCTCCCAGCATCCACTTAGCAGCTCCCAACTGTCTGTTACTTGTCTCAGGGGGATCTTCTGGTGTCCTTGGGCACCAGGTACAAATGGCATGCAGAGATATAACATGCAGGCAAAACATTCATATGTGTAAAATAAACAAGTTAATTTAAAACATTCCAAAACTGAGTTTTAACTTATTTAATTTATTTTTATGTATGTGTGTTTTGCCTGCATGTATGTGCACCATGTGTATGCCTGGTATGACTGGATCCAGAAATGGTTATCAAAGCCCCTGTAGCTGATACCGGTGGTTCTGAGCTGCAGTGTGGATGTTGGGAACTGAACATGGGTTCTCTCAAGAGCAGACAGTACCCTTAACCATCTCTCCAATCCCAGAGTTTAACGTACTAACATAAAACCTTTTTTTTAACCCATAAGACAATGACTTACTATGCCTAAACTTGAGGGAGAAGAGTCTAACTTCATTAATAATTAAGCAACTATATATTAACAACAGATACAAGTTATCAATCCATACTTTACAATTATGCAAAAATAAACAAAGATTTCCCTGAAGAAACTGGGCACTGGCCACTCAGGGTCTCCTGGAAAGGAGGCACATGTACTGGCTGTCTCCTCTGAGGACAACATATCCCTGGCAACCCAGTGAGACACACCCACAGATCACATTGTGAATCCTGACCTGCTCTCTGAGGCTGAAGAGGCAGATGCAGCTGGTGTCCATCCTGGTGACACAGACAAGCTGTAGCGAACAGATTATAGGTGCTATTACCAGCACTGGTGAATTTGTGGTTCTTGATGGTGAGCTAGGAACTCGAGATGCAGAGAACCATATCAGCCGTGATTCCGTGCACAGGAGACCCGGAAGTGGGGCACTAACAGTGTGTTTGGTGTGCTGTGCGAAAGGAGACAGCTGCCGGGCTCTGCGTGCAGCTCAGCTGTGAACCCGAGGCTTCATGTGTCGGACACTTGGTCCCCACTGCGGGATTTGGTTTACCTGAAGCTTTTATTTCTAGGTTTGTCTTTGGAGGTAGTGTTGTTGTAGACTTTGGTGTCTACTGGGTGATTGCTTTTAGGAACCCTTAAATATGTCAAAATTCACAGATGCCTGAGTCCTAGATATAAATTTAAAAAATTGTTCTCTCTGTGTCTCTTTCTCTCTGTATCTCTGTTTCTTTCTGTGTCTAATTCTCTTTGTCTCCCTCTGTCTCTCTGCCTCTCTCTCCCCTCTGTATCTGTTTCTTTCTCTGTGTCTATCTCTCTGTCTCTCTCTCCCCTCTGTATCTCTTTCTTTCTGTGTGTGTGTCTCTCTCTATCTCTCCATGTCTGTCTGTCTGTCTGTCTGTCTGTCTGTCTGTCTCTCTCTCTGTGTGTGTGTGTACGTGTGTGCGTGTACACATGCGCTCATGCGTACATATGTACCACGGCACAAGTGTGACTACCTTCTGTAGTCAGCTCTTTTCCCAAGATGTGGGACCAGGAGGTCAAACCCAGGCCGTCAGGCACCTTTATGCACTGAAAGGGCGCTCACTGGTCCCCAAGTCTCTGGTTCAAAATGGCATGACATTCGCATATAACTGCACAATCCTCCTAGTGTCTTGCTTATACTTTCTAGAACAATTCAGACATTAAACAGCTGTGATACTGTGTTAGTTAGAGAATAACAACAAGGGAATGTATGCATTTTATTCTTAATATTAATATCGGTCTAGCCAAGGCCAGTTGAAGCCACAGTGT